GTACAGACAAGAACAAATTCTGGCAGCTGGTTTATTTTTTTTATTTTTTATTTTTTGATAATCCAGTTGTCGGGGCTTACGATCCCATAATCCTGGAGTCTATGAACTACCCTCCAAAGCCCCTAGACAGTTAAGTCCGGATCCGATCACAGTCAGTCTCGTCAGTACTAGCTCCAAAGGACGAATCCAGCAGGACTTACATCACCTTTCAGGCTGCTCCTCCCACCACACGAACCCGCTACCTTCATTACCATCCTCTCCCTTCTCAGCCGCTGAGCAACTCCGTGAAGGTAGGAAGAATCATTGAGAGCAAGACCTCCCTCCTCTCCCCTAAATGTGCCTAGCGGGATTCGAACCCGAGACCTCCGCTAGGACACGGTAACCTTCCACCCAGTGAGCTGGAATGATTGGTTTCTGGCAGCTGATGTATACTTTCAATAGCTGCGTTTTTTTAATTTATTATCAACATAAATAGTTTTCATTGGCATCTTATGCACCCAGAGAATCTAGAAACCTGCTGATTTTGAGTTCTGTTTTAAATTGAAAGGCAGCGAGCGAATTAGTCTTGTTTCAGGATGCTTCACACTGCTATGTAAAGGTTTTCAAGATTTTGTTTATTTTATTTTTTTAGTTCTTGGCATACCGATCGAGGCTTGGAGAAGTTTGGGAGAGAAAGGTATCGAGTGGCTAACACGTTTCTTCAACATGATTTGGAGAAACAACAAAATGCCAGTGAGTTGGCGGAAGAGTACTCTCATTCCCTTATTTAAAAATAAGGGTGATGTGCAAGAATGTGCAAACTATCGAGGGATTAAGCTTATGAGTCACAACATGAAACTTTGGGAGCGAGTGGTTGAGCAAAGACTACGTAAAAGTGTGAAAATTTCGGAGAATCAATTTGGTTTTATGCCTGGACGCTCAACGACTGAGGCCATTCACCTTCTTAGACAAGTTGTGGAGAAGTATAGAGACACTAAAAAGGATCTGCATTTGGTGTTCATTGACTTAGAAAAGACATATGATAGGGTACCTCGAGAAGTTCTTTGGTGGGCCTTAACTAGAAAAGGCATATCACGTAAGTATATCAGCATCATCATGGATATGTATGATGCTTGTACTACAAGTATCCGCACTAGTGTAGGGAGGACCGCAGAGTTCCCTATTACTATTGGAGTGCACAAAGGATCTGCTCTGAGTCTTTTCTTATTTGCTTTAGTCATGGATGAACTTACGAAGTCAATTCAAGAAGATATACCGTGGTGCATGATGTTTGCCGACGATATTGTATTGATTGATGAGACACAATCCGGTGTTAAAGCAAAGTTGGAAGTATGACGACAAACATTGGAGAGCAAGGGTTTCAAACTCAGCCAAAGCAAGACTGAGTATATGGAGTGCAAGTTCGGTGGAGGTAGAAGCGGTAGCAACAGTGGGATTACTCTTGATGGTAAGGAGATACCGGTGTGTGATATGTTCCGTTACTTGGGATCCATCATTCAGAAGGATGGTGAATTAGATGGAGATGTATGTCATAGAATCAGAGCTGGGTGGATGAAATGGAAAAGTGCTTCAGGATTTCTATGCGATCGAGGTATGCCGACTAAATTGAAAGGTAAATTTTATCGTACAACAATTAGACCGGCATTAATGTATGGCGTAGAGTGTTGGGCGGTGAAGCAATGCCACATTCAAAAGATGAGTGTGACAGAGATGCGTATGTTGCATTGGATGTGTGGACATACCAGAAAAGACCGCCTGAGGAATGAGGTAATCAGAAAAAAGGTGGGAGTAGCACCTATAGAAGATAAGATGCAGGAGTCTCGTTTGCGGTGGTTTGGGCATGTGCATAGAAGACCGAGTGATGCACCTGTTAGACGACTTGAGGGGTGGGGAGAAGAGTCAGAGAAGAAAGGGAGGGGAAGACCCAAACAGACTTGGATTAGAGTAATCTGAACTGATATGCGTCTTCTTGGGTTGGATGAGAGTATGGCTTTGGAGAGAGCAAAGTGGAGGGCGCACATCCATGTGGACGATTGATGTCTTGTCTACCTTTCCTCTCTTGTTTCTTTTATCGTTTATCTTTCTTATCTTTTTATATTCTTATGTTATTTTTATCTTCTAGCTTTTTTATGTTCTTTTATTTATTTTTCTTTTATCTTGGTTATATTCTTGTGTTATTATTATCTTATATTTATGTATCTTTATTTTATTCATTTTATCTTACTTTTTTTCCTTTTCTTGTCCGCCTTCTCTTTTTGGCATCGATATCATAGATCGATTCATGTTAGCCGACCCCAAATTCTTTTGGGATTAAGGCTTAGATGTTGTTGTTGTTGTATTTTTTTAGTTCTCTGTAGCAGCAAGAAAATTTTAAGTTCTAAACATTAGTACGTTCAATAGAAAATTAAAACTTCGGTTGTATGGCTATTTTTCATATTTGGTAGATTCTTATTTCGTAATTACATTTAATTAAAGATATAAGAGAAGAGCTTACCGAAAGACGTTATCAAGGTGCCACACTTGTTTGAGTAGTTTGAGTTCAGCTTTTCCAGGTAAGTTCACTACCACCTGTACATGTTTGTTCAAACAAATGAAAGAAAGAAGTCTGGTTGATTTTTTTAATAGATGATTTTTAGACTATTTGCTATTATGTGAATTTGGTGAATTATTTGATGAGTTATATTACTTGTCATATTTAGTTATGTTTATCATTCTGGCATAGTCAAGATTATGTCAGTACTTTTATTTCAAGATTTTAATGATGTTTTTTATTCAAACGTCACTATAAAAAGAACTAATACTTAAAGTGAAAGACCAGGTGATATGTACTCGGGAACAAGTTCCCTCAGATTATCAGTTTCTTAGTTCCAGAGAGTCCGATATGTTTAGTGGGTCGGTCCCTTGAGCTGTCGGATTGGCGCCTTTGAGTACATATCACGGGCCCACAGTTAAAATTAGCCACAAAGAGTTTTACAGTAACGTTATGAGATCTCTTTCAGAAAGTTTTACAGAAAGTTGTTTTTGAGATCTCTTTCAGAAAGTTTTACAGAAAGGCATTTTTGAGATCTCTTTCAGAAAGTTTTACAGAAAGACGTTTTTGAGATCTCTTTCAGAAAGTTTTACAGAGATGTTTTAAGAAAGAAAATTTCGAGATCTCTCGTAGTTTTGAGAAATTATTTTAGAAAATATTTTCTTTTGGGATCTCTCTAAGAATTTATTTGAGAAGCTATTTTTTCGTTGTGTATTTAGTGCATGCTTATAGCCTAAATTATCTATTGATAAATTAGCATAGACTTCTCAGATTTTTTTGTGAATCCATAGTGACTTACTAAGCGTAAAGCTTATCCGTTTTTCTTTCTTCGCGTGTACAGATACTAAAGGTAAGGCCAAGGCCTAGGAAGATGATGAGAGAGTGGAACGCGTGCCGAAATGAGTTAACGGGAACGATCCTGGCGGCTTCTAGCTAGTTATTATTTTATTTAAGTATTTCAGATGTTATAATAAAGTGATTATTATTATTTTATTTTATTTGAGAATTTGAAGTTTTAGTAAATTCCAGGATCCAGGTGGTTATCACATTTGCTAGTGATAACTAGATTTTATTGAGTTTTATTTGGAGATATATTTTAGTTATATTTGAGATTTTATTAGGGTTATTTCTTAAACAAACGACCGTTATATTGCAGTTTTTTTAGTAGTAAGTTTAAGTAACGTTTCCTTTAACCCTGAGAGGAGCGTTACAGACAATCTCGAGCCAGTCCCGTCAACGACCCGATGATCCCTATCTGGGCCGGTCAATGAGGCGACAATTAAGTCTCGTTTTTTGAAATCATTATTTAAAGTGAAGAGTTTTAAAAGAGTCATTGAGTTGTCAACCAATATGGAAATGAGCAAAGAATTTGTCAAACTAACCATTGAGATCGACCAGGACTAGCCAGTTTCAATCCTGACTTTCATATACGTGGGATCTGGTACCCTATTTGGGTTGTACTAGGTTAGGTTCCGGACTGGGACCATACTTTCGGTCTTTTGTTCGGTCACAGAATCGGGTGAAAAAAATTGATGAACATGTTTTCAGATTTGAAAATGGAAAACTAAAAAAATGCATAAATTCAGATAATTATTATTGGAAAATAATGTGATAAGTGGGACATGACTATAGTAACTAACTCAACTCATCAGTCTCATTATAGTTTCCATGCTGTTAGAATAATCTTGTGAAGATAAGAATGAGTTTAAAAGTTCGTCTCATTATTGGCCTATTTTCATGAATATTACGAAGTACGTACTAAATTAAATTCAAAAGACAAAAATATGACTTATTTTAATTTTTTTTAAAGTGACATATTCAGTGACTAGTTCTCAGTGATTCATCATCTAAGAGTGACTTTTCACTTTGAAATACATTACTGTGACTCTTGTCCAGTAACTCCTACAATAGAAGTAGTCATATTTTGTCCGGAGAAACTCTACTAATAATACAGATGTCATTTTTCCTCATTATTCCTTCAATAGAAGGTTGCAACTTAAAAGACATCTGGTGTTAAACTTTGCTAGTATGATTTTTTTGTCTATTTTGCATGAATTTACAGCTTTAACCAACTTTAAAGCTGTTTTCATTCCTACAAAAGAATGAAAACAAAACACCTCTAAGTTTGCAAAGAACTGAACATACATTTAAAAGATATCAATCACAGTTAGTTGGAGCGGTCAGGGTCATAGCTACAGATTACCCTAGACAGTTTACAATAGAAACTATATTCCAAATTACAAATTACACTACACGAACACATACTCAGAAGTAACTACCAAACATCTGTTTCCAAATGCAAACACAGAACTAAAACTATATTCCTGCACAACGCACATAGAGTGATAAAACATGATGATTTGCCTAAAACAATACTAAGGCCTTTTTTCACTCATTTTTTTATATAAATAGACCTGCACCATTATATGAGATTCTGGATAGAAAATAATCAGGTACACTTGAAGTAGAGTGAGATTGTTCTTAAATTGAATCACAAAGTGCTGAACTAAGATAGGTACCTTCATTGATCCAAGGAATACAGCCATTCCCTCCGGAAAGTTGTGCAAGCTTATGCCTGAGAGAGCAAAAGAACAGGACTCAAAACTCATTTGTTATTTCTTTTGGTTATGAACTTCAATGGGTGGGAAAGGGCAGGTATTTTACCACTTGAATGTTATATCTTGAACTTTAAAGTAATTTACTCTTACAACAGTAATTTCTCCTTCTCACAATAAGTATTGCTTTGGAGGAAAAAATGTTTCACGCTATAAGTCGATTTTTTATAAAACCAAGGCAGTATTAAATGCTATTTTTACATTTTTATCCCTTCTTTAAGATTCCTATACAAATATAATCTTTATTGATAATTAAACGTTATCAAAAGATAATATTGTCAAGTTTTATCAATTTAATAACTCCTTCATTTATGCAATTTCTGCAAAAACAGCACTTAATGTGAGCATGAGGGAGTGTTTGAAAAATAAAAGCATGCATTTTCATCATGAGTCAGTAAACTTAGTGTTGATAGTTTGGTACAACATATAAATCTTAACCCCGTGAAAGAACATAGACTACATGGGCAACCACTTAAATGACTTATAATGAACCAAACTTAACAAGCATACCCAGTATATTCCATTTAGAAGTAGGGTTTGGGGAGGATGAGATATACATAGCCTTAATAGTTACAGCTACCCCTGGGAGTAGAGAGGTAGTCCCACTCGGATATAAACCCCGTTGTCAACAATAGTGTGCATGAATCCAACACAATATCGAGTTTCTTATTGGTTTAAAAAAAGGTAACAAAAACCTATTGCTGTAACGATTCCACTGAAGAGGACTTGACGGCGGTGTTTTTTCATGATAATCTTTCCACGATCATCCCCACCTTTCTGCTATAAATATTCAAGCACAAATTCAAGTTTTAAGAGTAAATATTGCAAAAAGAAGTCATGACTCAAAGAGAAGCAGTTTAAAGAATCAAAATCCAACTCATTGGCAGATATATACAGAAGTACTGTCAGAAAATAGAAGAGGTTGTTGGTTGTATGACTGGAAATAAGTGATTTTAGTGAGGTGTAATGTAGATGATGTGTTTTAGAGGAGAACTCTTGTCTCTAGAAAAGTAGTATTGTATTGATGTTTCTTGGTTTTGCTTGGTATGCAAATGAGTACAATGAGTCCTATTTATAGGAGCTAGAGGATCATTCTAGATCCTTATTAAATGCTATGATTCTAGAGTATTCTACATCTATGTCTAATTACTCTAGATTTTACATAAGAATTCTCTAGTAGAGAATTTTCTAGAATACTTTCTAGCTTTAACTCTCTAGATCATCTCTAGCATTTTCTACATAGAATATTTTAGATAAATGAATCACTATTTAATACTCCTCCTTGATGCATTTGTCGGTGACTCCAAGCATTCTTCGCAGAAACTGGAATCTGTCTCTTGGCAGGGCCTTCGTGAAAATATCTGCCAATTGTTCTTCTGTTGGGCAGTACTTCATCTCAATATGCCCCTTTGCTTGGACATCTCTCAAGAAGTGATAGTTGATATCGATGTGCTTAGTACGATTGTGCTGAATTGGATTTTTAGCCATCGCAATCGCTGACTTGTTGTCGCAAAATATTTGAGTCGCAGAACTTTGCAATTTTCACATGTCTTCTAATATTCTTTTTAGCCATAAAGCTTGGCACGCTGCTCCGGCTGCTGCAACATACTCGGCTTCGGCTGAAGATAGTGCAACAAAATCTTGCTTTTTTGATCCCCATGAGAAAATTCCCGAACCCAGCTTAAATGCGTAACCGGAGGTGCTTTTCATGTCATCTTGAGATCCAGCCCAATCACTGTCGCTATATCTAGTTAGTCGTGAGTCAGGAGTTGTTTTGTACCAAATACCATAATTGATGGTTCCTTGTAGATACCTAAGGAGTCTCTTTGCCGCTCCATAATGAGTCTCACTTGGACTTTCCATGAACCTCGAGAGCAAACTTGTAGCATACATGATGTCCGGCCTCGTAGCCGTTAAGTAGAGTAGACTCCCAATCAAACTTCGGTAATTGGTTGCATCCGTCTGCTTTGACCCATCTTCTTTCTTCATTTTTTCATTAGGAACCAGTGGAGTAACGACGGCTTTGCAGTCTTGCATTTTAAACTTCTTTAACATGTCCTTAATATATTTTTCATGAGATAAGAATATGCCTTCTTCTTCTTGACTTATCTCCATGCCAAAAAGTAGTGCATTAATCCCAAGTCACTCATCTCAAAAGTGTTCATCATGTCTCTCTTAAATTCTTCAATTAATTTGGAATTATTTCCCGTGACAATTAAGTCATCAACATATAGAGAGACGATGAGAATGTCAGATTTACCTTGGGATTTGATGTATAGTGTAGCCTCGTTCTTACTCCTCCTGAACCCTTGACGGGTGAAGTATCCATCAATCTTGCTATACCACGCTCGTGGAGCTTGTTTGAGCCCGTAAAGCGCTTTCTTTAGACGAAGAACTTTTTCTTCTTCTTTGATGAATCCTTCTGGTTGCTCCACATACACTTCTTCTCGTAGCTCTCCATTTAGAAAGGCTGACTTGACGTCTAGCTGATAAATTTTCCATTTCTTCTGAGCTGCAAGAGCTATGAGTGTTCTTATTGTGTCCATCCGGGCAACTGGTGCAAACGTCTCTGTGTAGTCAACTCCCGGTATTTGAGCATACCCCTTTGCAACCAGCCTTGCCTTATGCTTCTGAATTGAGCCATCGGGGTTCAATTTTGTTTTATACACCCATTTGACTCCAATAACCTCCTTGTTATGTGGAAGATCTACCATTTCCCAAGTATCATTCTTTTCTATCATTTTGATCTCCTCCTCCATTGCTTTAATCCAAACTTTTTCTTTGGAGGCTTCGGTGTAGCTATATGGCTCCTAGGAGAAAAAGTTGCATGTTTCATAGATGTCAGTAGACTCATATAGGTCTGCTAGAGTTCTTACCTGAAGAGGTGGGGACTCTGGCGAGGAGTCGTGATTTCTTGATGTATTAGCTTCAAAAGAGGATCTTGGAGTAGACGTGGGGCTTTGTTGATCGTGATTTTCCTCTTCTGGTATTTCCTCTAGTTGGACAGTAGTTGTCTTTCTTTCAACTTTTTCTGTCTCCCAATTCCAAGAGGCTTGCTCGTCAAACTCCACATCTCGACTTGTCACCAACTTCTTTGTCTCGAGATTGTAGATTCGATATCCCTTGGATTTGGAGCTATAGTCAAGGAAGATGCCCTTCTCTGTCTTGTCTTCTAATTTGTGCATTTTAACAGAGGGAACATGAATGTAGCATATGCTTCCGAAGACCTTCAAATGTTTGGCTGAAGGCTTTTGTCCCGACCATGCCTCAATAGGTGTTTTGTTTAAAACCGCCTTAGTTGGACACCGGTTTAGAAGATAGACTGAAGTATATACTGCCTCTGCCCAGAACGTTTTAGGCATTCCTTTTTCAGCTAACATAGACCTTGCCATCTCCATGACTGCGCGGTTCTTCCTTTCGGATACCCCATTTTGTTGTGGAGTGTATGCTACTGTTAGTTGATGCTCTACACCTTCATCTTCACAGAACTTGTCAAATTCTTTTGAGTTGTATTCGGTACCTCGATCGCTTCTCAACTTCTTGATTTGATGACCACTCTGTTTCTCCACGAAGTTCTTGAATCTCTTGAATATTCTAAAGACTTCGGATTTTTCTTGGAAAAAATACACCCATGTCATCCTAGAGTAATCATCGATGAAGAGTATGTAGTACCTGTTCTTCGAAACTGAAGGCGTGCGCATTGGACCGCAGACATCGGTGTGGACAAGCTCTAGTATCTGTTTGGCTCTCCATGTCTTTTCTGTTGGAAATGGTTGCCTGTGCTACTTCCCAACCATACATCCTTCACATACTCCTTCTTTTTCATCCGTAGAGGCATGTCTCTCATCATCTTCTTTTGGTGTAGTAATCTTGAGGCATTGAGATTGAAGTGCCCAAATCTTCGATGCCATAGACTCGTATCACTCGGTTGAGCCACCATCGCCTTTTGTGGATATTTCCATTGAATAGGAAAATTTCTATTATTTCCCATTTTTACTTCAGCAATTTCTTGATTATTATTGTTGTCATAAATTTGGCAAGAATTTTTCTCAAAGTGCAAGGCATATCCACTTTCCATCATTTGGCCAACACTTAGTAGATTTTGTGCAAGGCGTGGCACTAGGAGAACGTTTCTAATAAAGCGCGTACCTTTCTTTGTATCTATGACAATGGTACCTTTCCCCTTTGCCTCCACCAAATCGTCATTGCCCATCTTGACCTTTGTCTTGATTGAGGTGTCTAAGTCATGGAAGATGGTCTCGTTGGATGTCATGTGGTTGCTGCACCCACTATCGATGTACCACTCTTCTTCTTTTGCTTCTATGGCTGAGTGACATGCGTAGAACATGTACTCCTTCTCCTTAAAATCTTCAGAATAGTTGGCCTGATAGTTTCTTCTATCTCTGCAATCTTTTTCTTCATGCCCGAACCTCTTGCAATTTTTGCATTGTGGCTTTCCTCGATGGTAGCAATATTTCTCTAAGTGATTAGTCTTCTTGCATATTTTGCATGGTGGAAAGTTCGTCTTCCTCTCTTTGTTGTTAGAATTCCCATCTTTATGTGGTTTAAAGTTTTCACCATTTCTCGAGTGATTCCTTTTAATGTTGAGCTTAGACTGGAAGGCACTTTCTAATGAACTTTCGTGTCGTCTGTTCAGCCTTTGCTCACGTGCTTCTAGCGACCCCATTAATTCAGTGATGGACATTTTTGATAGATCTTTTGACTCCTCAATAGCCGAAACTACTGGATCATATTTTTCAGGGAGACTGATTAGGACCTTCTGGATTATTCTCTCGTCGGTTATGTTTTCTCCAAGAGTTCTCATTTCGTTGACTATATGTATAACCCGAGAGAAATAATCTTTTGCCATTTCAGAATCTCTCATCTTTAAATTTTGAGCTCTCTTCTTAAACTTTGTAATTTAATAGTTCTAACTTTCTCATTTCCTTGAAATTCATCCTTAAGAATATCCCAAGCTTCTTTTGCCGTAGTAGCACGAATTATTCTCGGGAAAATAGTATCACAAACGGATTGTTGAAGAAGATAGAGAGCTCTAGCATTTTGTTGTTTTTGTTTCTTACGTACCTCGGAAGTTGATGCGTCGTCGCTTCCTTTTTCCGGCATGATGATTCCTTCTTCAACAATATCCCAGAGATCATGTGATTCTAGGATACTCCAATAGTCATAGCTTTCTCCATTGAACATCGGAGTTGATACCGAGAAGCTTGATGTCGCCATAATGCCCGCTTATGATCGAACAATCTCTGATACCACTTGTTAGAAAATAGAAGAGGTTGTTGGTTGTATGAGTAGAATAAGTGATTTTAGTGAGGTGTAATGTAGATGATGTGTTTTAGAAGAGAGCTCTTGTCTCTAGAAAAGTAGTATTGTATTGATGTTTCTTGGTTTTGCTTGGTATGCAAATGAGTACAATGAGTCCTATTTATAGGAGCTAGAGGATCATTCTAGATCCTTATTAAATGCTATGATTCTAGAGTATTCTACATCTATGTCTAATTACTCTAGATTTTACATAAGAATTCCCAAGTAGAGAATTTTCTAGAATACTTTCTAGCTTTAACTCTCTAGATCATCTCTAGCATTTTCTACATAGAATATTCTAGATAAATGCATCACTATTTAATAAGTACTAAAACCTTTTTGTTCTGAACTTCTGAACTGGGAGAAAGACTAGGTTCTGGGATGAAGCTTGAAATGAGAGCAAAGAAAGCAACACCTGCAAAGAACTGTGAGGCAATATTTGACAGTCCTAAGAAAAAGAAAGTATTGGTAAAAGGTAAATGAAATAATAGCTCACCCAAAGATTTCCCCTTAAGAATCCAATGGAGTTCAATGCATTATGGGCCAAGTCAAAGAATGATATGCTCAGCATAAGACCTGTAGCAAAACCCTGCACGGAGGAAAAACTACAACATTGTTGTCTTTCAAGTAGATGCTCAATCCAATATGAAATGCCATTAAAAGTTTGAAGCAACAAATTCATCATATTATCATTTTTTTAATGCGCTCAGGGTTGTCACAGCGGCTAAGCGAGGCTCAACACCAGCAGACCGCCTTGTCACCTAGTAGACAGTTAGGCAACAAAGCCAACAAGTAATCGTATAGAATATTTTACTACTACCTTCGCCCCACTGACATTGAGACATGAGAATGTGATAGGGTTATTAAGAAAACTAAGTTTATATGGTTGATATTGAATTGATAAAGTGAGAATAAAGTAAGAATGACTTAGAACCGCACAAATTTTACTGAATTTGGTATGTGACAATCTTAATGGGACAAACCGAAAAGGAAAGATGGGACAATTTTAGCAGGACGGAGGGAGTATAATCTTTATATATATAAACATGGAATCGGCTGGGAATAACTGTTCTCGCCTGATTCCTATTATGTATACTGCCTGATCCCGTTAAGTATACAAAGCACGTGATATAAAGTAGACATGTTCATAGCAGTTACGTAAGCTTATAATACAACACATGGCAGGCCCGTAATATTAATGTAGCAGTTTCTACCACACCATGAGTAATCACTTCACACGATCCCTCCCAGGCCATTATGCTTGTGATAACTGACTTCCACAATATAATAGATGTATGCATCATCATCAAATATCAATTACAGTCCAGCAAGAAGCAGAGTTTTGAGAAGATGGCGCTCAAAGGACAAATTGGGCGCTAAGGTAATTTTCTAAAAATGAACCATGTATGCATTTTATATGTCTTAGGTTTTTTTAATACGTAGTATCATTATTAAAATCTATCGAATACTATAGCGGAAAAACCCATAATTGATTCATCTACTTTGATGTATCCACTGTAGATATCATATGGAGCATATTCACACTACTAGAGCTAGCGCAAGAGTACAATTCGGGTAATAACTTCAACGGGGCTTTGTTGATGTGCTCAAAGCATGGGAAGAAAAATGATCGAAGACGAGAGACTAAGCTATATATGTGGACAGGGAGGAGGAGAGTGAAGCTGCTGGCAGGTGTCTGGAGGCTTCAAATCTTCCATATCAAGAGTGAGTGATTAGTAATATTTATGTACTCAATATATAAATATGTACTCCGGATTAATATAATACATAATACATACGTACTCCATTTTGCTTCCAAAAACCGCAATCACATTCGCAACGTGAGAGATTTATCGTTACCGGCGGATAATCACGGATGGAAACAGAGTATATTCCCGTTGTTCGGTTATGCGGGGCAATAGTGCACTGATGTCTTTTCTGCGAACGTTCAAGAATATCTTTCCATATATTTTGCGGATATAGGAACCCAGCTTGCCGCCACATCTGACCGGCCCTACGTCGATCGGCAAATAGTTGGACAACTTTGTTATAAGTTGCCTTAACCAGCGCGGTGATTGGAAGTGTTCGACATCCCTTTAGAACGTTATTGAAGCTCTCGGAAAGATTTGTTGTGAGGATGTCGTAACGTCGTCCATCGTCGAAGCACAGTGCCCAATTTTCACGTGGAATAGCGTTCAAATAAGTGAACGTATTCTCATTCGTAGCACGAATTTGAGCCATTGTTTGGTAAAATTCACTCACCATGGGTGTACTCTCGACCTGCCAACAAAGCTTTTTCAGTTCTGTGCTCCTGAATTTTGTCATGAAATTGCTTCTAATGTGTCGGAGGCAAAATCGCTTCGAAACTTGGGAGGTTTTCAATTGAGGTACTGATTGATAGGCACTTAGGATGCCAGGGTGTCGATCTGATATTATGCACACATGCCGATTTGGTCTGACAACATAAGTCATAATGTGTTCCAAAAACCAGGACCAACTACTTGTGTTTTCACTTTCCACAACTGCGTACGTGAGAGGGAAAATCTCACGGTTAGCATTCATGCCGACTGCAACCAAGATGGCCCTTGAACTTTCCGTACAAGTGAGTACCGTCAACAGATACTACGGGCAGACAGTGTTCAAACCCATCAATGGAAGCTTTAAAAGCCGAAAACGCACGATGAAATTCATACTTACATCATGACTGGTTGGTTTTGGTTGGAAATCTACCACTGACCCCGGATTTGATTCTCTTATCGCAAGCAACAAATTGGGTAAATCATTGTAGGCCGCCTCCCAGTTGCCAAATCTTCGTTCAAGGGCAATCAAATGTCCATACCACGCCTTTTTGTACTTGACATTGATTCTGAATTTTTCGTATATGTCTTGCATCATGAGTTTAATGTTGTAGTCCGGATCAACATGCACTTTTGTAGCGATTACACTCGCTATGATCTTGCTCATCATAAACCTGTCATTAGACTCTTTTATAATCCACTCTGCAGTTGTGTAGTGATTGATATTTTTTCACTTTCCACAAATTGGTGTTGAGAAGGTTTCCCGCCTGAATGTGCCACATACACATGTCATCATAGATGCAAACTGCCTTCCACGATCTCACACGTTTGTCTTCTGTCTTAAAAATTCGAGATTGCCGAATATTTTCTATTGCTACGGCTTCTTTCAGTAAGTCGTATGAATCGTATATTTTGTCGACCGCAATAGTTTCATTATCACGATTTGCTAGTTCAACATATGGTTGTTGCAGCTCAATATCGGCCCATGTCGTGTCATGAGCGTCATCATTATCGTCAAAATTTGTTGTTGCATCGTCATTTCCAGAAAATTGTTCATAATCTGGATCATCTTCCTCTTCATATGCTGTTGAAGGGCCATCTTCATGTTCAATAGTATGCGGGTTGTGGCGTCCGCCGTATCTCGTTGATGGTCCGTCATCGTTGGAGTGGATATTGTGAAAAGTTTCACAATTGTGGGTGTCACCTCCTCCATATGTTGATATTTGTGGTTGGACTATAGAGGTTCTTCGTGCATCCAGGAAAATATGTAATTCTCCATACTCTCTTTCACCAAGTCGGAAAAAGTGCTTCCAAGTATCATCATCATGGATGGGCCACAGTCTTGATGCCACATACACACGATTTTTGTACTTTCGTAATTTTCGGTGAATGGATACAATTTCTCCAAAACCTCTCTGCGCACACTCTTCGACAATCCGCTCGTTTATAGCGTTAAAGCCATCGTCATTGCTAATTAACAGCGCTGCGCTCGGGGGAATGGAATACTCTACTTCATCATCTTTCATAATAATAGAACCATTCCAGTGGACACAAACTGGAGTGTTATGCTCAGTTGCCATTTTTTGTATATGGTAAGTAATATCGTAGGAAATATAGGGAGTTGATGATAGATATCTAGGAACTCTAAGGTGATAAATAGATAGCAAGAATATGGTGACTGAGGATAGTGATGAGCCTTTTATAGTAAAAAAAATTAGTACTTCGTAGGAAAGGTGTGTGTAATTTCTTTAAGGGTAAAGGTGCAAATAAGCCCTCAAACTAATCGAACAAGTGCAAATAACCCCTTTTATAGGAGGCTATGTCTGGACGTCGCCATTTGGGACGGTTACCGGTGGAATTTTTTGATGAAGAATTTAGAGCATCTTCTTCATTAAGTCTAGTTTACCCATACCAAATTTCAGGTAAAAATTCAATCGGGAAGGCAGTCAAATGATTTTCTGAAATATACTGCGCTGTTTAACTGCACAGTTATCTTCAAACATTTATTTGACTGCCTTGACGATTGAAATTTTAGCTGAATTTTGGTGTGGGTAAACTAGATTTAACGAAGAAGATGCTCAAAACATTTCATCAAAAACTTCCACCGGGAACCACCTCAAATGGCGATGGTCGGACAGAACCGCCTATAAAAGGGGTGATTTGCACTTTTTTGGTTAGTTCAAGAGCTTATTTGCCCCTTTTCCCTTTCTTTAATAATAGTAGTTATGAGTATTTTGGTGCAAGTGGTTGAGAGGAAGTGTTTGAAAAAATTATTGGTTGTTGGGAGTGGGGTTAGGTGGGTGGAAGTGGTTAGGAGAAGGGTTGAAATTATTTCGAATAGTAAGTGGTTGAAAAAAATTGAATATTGTGTAGAATTATTGATTCCAGAAGTGACGGAGAATCTGTAAGAAAAATTAAAAGTTAATTGATTTAGCTTAAAGTGAGTGAAATCTGTACACTTTTGTACCCGAGATATATTTTTTAGATCAAAATTATTGGTTGTTGGGAGTGAGTTTAGGTGGGTGGAAGTGGTTGGGAGAAGTGGTTAAAATTATTTCGAATAATAAGTGGTTGAAAAAAAATTGAATATTGTGTAGAATTATTGATTCCCGAAGTGACAGGAAATCTGTCAGAAAAATTAAAAATTGATTGATTTAATTTAAAGTGAGTGGAATCCGTACACTTTTGTACCCGAAATATTTTTTTTAGATCAAAATTATTGATAGTTGGGAGTGGGTTTAGGTGGGTGCAAGTGGTTGGGAGAAGTGGTTGAAATTATTTCGAACAATAAGTGGTTGAAAAAAAATCGAATGTTGTGTAAAATTATTGATTCCCGAAGTGACAGGGAATCTGTAAGAAATATTAAAAGTTGATTGATTTAATTTAAAGTGGGTGGAATCTGTACACTTTTGTATCCGAGATGTATTTTTTAGATCAAAATTATTGGTTGTTGGGAGTGAGTTTAGGTGGGTGGAAGTGGTTGGGAGAAGTGGTTGAAATTATTTCGAATAATAAGTGGTTGAAAAAAAATTGAATGTTGTGTATGTAGAAGTATTGATTCCCGAAGTGACAGAGAATCTGTCAGAAAAATTAAAAGTTGATTGATTTAATTTAAAGTGAGTGGAATCTGTACACTTTTGTACCCGGAATATTTTTTTAGATCAAAATTATTGATAGTTGGGAGTGGGTTTAGGTGGGTGCAAGTGGTTGGGAGAAGTGGTTGAAATTATTTCGAACAATAAGTGCTTGAAAAAAAATTGAATGTTGTGTAGAATTATTGATTCCCGAAGTG